CTCTCCCGGGTGCGATTTCCCATGGATTCCGTGCTTTCGCCGACTTCAGACTCAGCCGGTTGGACGGGGTCGCGGGGAGGTTGCTCCACGCGACGAGCCTCAGTCCTGGCTCTTTTGGTCCGGCTTTTCTCTCGTGCAACCTGTCGGTCGCGAGCGACTAACGGGGCACGACTGGGCTCCTTCCGGCCTAATCGTTCTCTTGCCGACCGACGTCCGACGCTGGGACCTAGCCGAGAATGAACAGATTGCACTGGTTGGCTTTCAGCCCGTCGGCTCGATTGCCGGTTGTCTGGCCTCTGAGGCGGTTGCAGCTCGTGTTGCAGCTGGCGAGTGATGGACTGTTCTCTCACTCCTAGGCTTGCTTCCGCGCAGGCGCGTCCGATTGCACGCAACTGCTCCGGGGTGAGCAGCACTTGAGGTAATTGCGGGTTTCTCAGCGGCGTCAGCGGCGGTGTCGTCTCGTTTTCATGGCTTCGGGCATTTCTCCTATTCAGCTGGTTTCTCAAGTCGGCCTCTCGTCCGTTGTCTTGACGGCTCGACTGTTCCTCGCTTCCAGCCATGTCTGGAGTTTGCCTGATTCAACTGTTGTTCCTAGGACTCGCCTTACTCAAGAGGACACGTGACTCTTCGTTTCGATCCCCACAGACGGCGCCAGTGATGATTTTTGGGTTTTCGGGCCCAAGGAGGTCCAACACAACCTTAAGCTGGAGGATACACCTTTCACAAAAAGTCTAGATTTTTAGTGAAGTATGATGCTCAATAGTGCTTTCTATTTCCCTCTCCGGGTTCTCCAATCTGCCTCTTACAAGGGTGGAGGAGCCCTCTTTATAGTGGCTCCTCCTCTACTGACTTAAAGGCTCATGATGGCCGACTTGAAGATTACATTCAATGTGCCGAGCCGTTGGGCGACGTTACGGACTCTGCCAACGGCTCTCTCTGGCTAGTAACTGGCGGACCGAGTCCGACTTTTAATGCCTCAACGGCTCCTGGCATTGACTGCTCTGAAAGCTCCCTCAACGGCTTTCCGGACCGAGTCTTCCCCTGGGCCGGGCCTGGACCGACTCCTCGTCCCCGTTTGACATTGGGCCGTCCTTCCGGGCTCTGAGCTGGGCCTCCCTCTTTGGACCTGGGCCGAGTCCTGGACTCGGCCCATACGTTCTTTCTGGGCCTTTTTTCTTGGGCCGGGGTACTCACCCCATCAGTTATAGTCCACATAACAATGTGTGGACCATGGTCCACACAATAATTTGTCGTTCGATGGCCTATTTGACCCTTATTCCTTAATAAATTAAACAAGTTCTTAATAATTTTAACGAGTTGACCCATTAAAATACAAAACGTAACGGGTCAACCTGTTAATAGTAAACACTAACTCGTTATTTTCGTGTCAGGTTTTGTGTCATGTTAATGAGTGGTGTTGCCATGTCTATGTATTAACCTAAATTCACTTAAAAGTTTTTAAATGGGAAAATGGCGAGTTTGGTCCCTGAGTTATAATGGTAGTGACGATTCAGTCCCTTAGTTATATCTTATCCATTTTTAGTCCCTCAGTTATGAGCAAAGTGGCGCATTTGGTCCATGATCGTTAAAACTGACGGAAAAATTAAAAAATATTTAAAATTTTGGGGTAAAGTAAGAAATTCACATTTTATTCACTTTCTTATATTGAAACCACTTTTGCAACATTATTTTCAACTTCTTAGCATTATATTTCAAGGTTCTTCAATTCCAAAAGCAATTCAATAATCTTCGTATGACTTGTTAGTAATCTGAGTCTCATATAAGGAACATGTGACTAAGTACAAACAAGAGAACACTTGATCATTGTCTTCAAGCATGTAAAACAAATCATCCTAAAAGTTTCTGATTTCCCTTACTAAACATAATGGTAATCAAACCATAACTTTTGAAATACAAGAAGATATCAAATTTCTCAATTATTTTTATGACAAATTCACCAAGGGAGTAACTTAAAATTTTTAGTACATAAAATTCTTTCGTAAGCTCTGCAGTAACTTAATCAAAAATCGCATATCCTGACAATATATGAAAATTATATTTTATATATACTCATCACCTCCCATGTCTTCTTAACAACCAGAATAATGAATGAGGAACCTAAGACTCAGTTATGAAAATTCAAAAAACTTTTGTAACTTCTAAAAATGATTTTTGACTGTTGCATATGAAAAAATTTTACATACTAAAAATCTCAAGTTATTTCGTTGGTGAATTTCTCATAAAAGCAACCTGAAAAATTTGATATCATTTTATATCTCAAAAGTTCTGGTTTGATTACCTTTGTTGCTTAGTAAAGAAAATTGAAAATTGATAGGATAGTGTGTTTCACATGTCTGAAGACAATGATCAAGTGTTTCTTTGTTTGTGCTAAGTCTTAAGTTTGTTATACGAGAGCCAGGTTCCTAACAAGTCATACTAAAGTTATCGAAATGCTTTTATAATTGAACAATCTTGAAATAAGAGGCTAAGAAGTGAAAAATAATGTTGTAAAAGTGGTTTTGATATAAGAAGGAGAATAAAATGTGAATTTCCTACTTTATCCCTCAAATTTTAAATATTTTTAACTTTTTTCGTCACGGTCGAGGACCAATTGCTTTACTTCGTTCATAACTGAGGGACTAAAAATGAATACAGTCATAACTCAAGGATTGAATCGAAACTTAGGTATAACTCAAGGACCAAAGATGTAATTTTCCCTTTTAAAATTAGATTTAGATTAGAAAGAAAGAAAGAAATAAATAAATCCTGTTTGGAAAAGGAAAATAATAGTAGTGCTTTTCACAGTCAAATTAGGAAAACACACTATAGCTGATAGCTCCAATCCGCTTGCATGCATCCCGTCATAACCTTTTTTTTGTTTTGTTTTTTTTTTTTTTTTGTTTTTTTTTTTTTTCTATATAATCTCTGCTCTCGTTTATCAGATTTTCCCATATACTACACTCGCTATCATTACAGAACTCTCTTTTCTAATTGTAAACTGGGACGACGTGCTTGTTTATCTCTTGAAAATTCAAAAATTTTCAATGGCGGGCGGCGGCGTTGGGGTCTTCATCCGTGTGACCCGTTGAAGGGTGGCACTGTGGCAGTCAGGCGGAAAGTCCTCTGAAGAAGGAATTAGCGGAGGTGGAGGCGATGGCAGTTCAGCACCTTTGTTGCACAAAAACAGTAAGGAGGAGAAGAAAACCATCACAGAACGTTACGTTGGATCCTCCTTCTTCACGTCGTCGCCGCCATAATTTAATAAATATTTTTCTTTTATGCGATTATGAATTTTCTGTTATGAGATTATGAATTTACAGTACATTCATAATCTCATAACAGAAAATTCATAATCTGACCAAACGCGCACCGTTAACACCACATCCGCGATTTTTTTTTTGTTTTTTTGTTTTTTTTTTTAACGTAAAAACGACGCCGTTTGGACCCGTGTTCACCATTCATTGTGAACACGTTCCAGGGTATAATTTGCGAGAATACATAATATTGTTAAGTGAGGATGTTGACCTATTATATAATTTGCCTATTTTTAAGTTATATTTTTTAGAACTATAACCTTATTAAAATAGCACAATATCAAAAGTTTTCTTGAAATTTTAACATTAAAATATTATATCTAAATTTATATCTGAATACAACATAATTAAAAATATCTAAATCAATATAAAGAATGTCTAAGTTATAATTATAAGGTAATTATAATATCCGTCTGTACTTGTTGGTCGTGCTCACTTCTAGTCCTTAAGTTATAACTAACATTGTAAATTTTGTTCTTTTTCTAACAAAACATTATGGACAAAATTTGTAACATCAATTATAACTTAGGGATGAAAAACGAGTACAACCTATTAGAAAAAGAACAAAATTCACAACGTTAGTTATAACTTAGGGACGAGAAGTGAACACGACCAATAAGTAAAAACGAATCCTACAATTACCCTATAACTTAGAGACAAAAAGTACAATTTTTTTCACTAAAAGAAGATACTTATAAATGTAGTCATAAGTTCATAACAATTGATATATGTGCAAGTAAACAAGAGTGAGAATGAGGGCAAATTATACCGTGCACAAGAGTGCGCTCTGGGCCAAAACGACGTCGTTTTGTACCTTTTTTGCGTGTCTGCTGTAAATTCATTAAAAAAATTTCCATGTTTCGAATGTACAGAATTAAATAATAGAAATTACATAATTTTATACATGAAAATACAGAATTTTATACTTGAAAACACATAATTTTATGACTGAAAATTCCCATGTTTCGAATGTACAGAATTATATAATAGAAAACACAGAATTTTATACCTGAAAACACATAATTTTTAACATAATACAAAACGGTGTGGTTTTGAAAGGCGCAGGACACACATTGCTATGTGCGCCCTAGTGCACGGTATAACGATTGGAGAATGAGGTAGGTGGTAGAAGTATTACATAGGTAGCTAGTAGGAATTCTATTTTACATTTGGATAACAAAACAAAAGTGTTATTCAAAAGAAAAACTATATGCTCCATCTGCCTCATTTTATCTATCCTACTTACTATTTATTGGTAAAAAAGAAAATAACATTTTTTTTCCTGTGTTATATGTTTATAGCATTTTCCCCCTTAAGTTATTCATGTATTCACATTTGTCCCTTCAATTGTGTTAAAAGTGACGGTATTTCCCTCTTTTATGTTAAATGGACATTTTTACCTTTAAAAATAAGTATTTCATGTATTTTTCTTATCAAACAAATTATTACTTATATGTATAGATGATCACGGTTCGGTTCGAACTTAACCGGACACTGTAGCAATCGAACCAAAACTGTAGGGACGGTTCTGGTTACTATTCAGAACCTGAAAAAATAAAATAAAATAAAATAATTGTTGAATTTAGACTATTTTAAAAATAAGAAATAGAATTTACAAAAATAAATAAATTTTGAACTGGCGATTCAAACCGAAATTGAAACCTTGAAGTGGAACCGAAGCGCAGTCATGTCTACTTATATGTGGAATTAGAATAAATGTGAAAATGATCAAACACTATTGGTAAATGATAAATCGGTTCGGTTCTAGTTTTGATTTTGAATCGCAGATTTAAAATTTTTTTATTTAATAATTTTTGTAAATTCTATTTCTTACTTTAAAAATAGTCTAAATTCAAAAATTATTTTATTTTATTTTTTTTCAGATTCTAAATCGTAACCAGAGCCGTCCCCAACAGTTTTGGTTCGATTGCTACAGTATTCGGCTAAGTTCAAATCGAACCGTTGTCATCCATACATATAAGCAATACATTTGTTGGAAAACATTTTCCCGTCTAGCTCAGTTGGTAGAGCGCAAGGCTCTTAACCTTGTGGTTCTGGGTTCAAGACCCAGGGTGGGCGAATGATCAGGGATTGAGTTTCCAATTGTTATGCTGTAGAACCGTATTCATAATTATGAATAGGTTTGGAACTGTGTCGAACCGTTGTCATCCATACATAGTCTCCAATCGTTATGCTGTGGAACTGTAATTATGAACAGTTTTGGAACTGTGTCGTACTGTTGTCATCCATACATATAAGCAATACATTTGTTGGAAAACACTTGCCTGTCTAGCTCAGTTGGTAGAGTGCAAGGCTCTTAACCTTGTGGTTTTGGGTTCAAGCCTCAGGGTGGGTGAATGATTAGGTATTGAATCTCCAATCGTTATGCTGTGGAACTATAATTATGAACAGTTTTGGAACTGTGTCGTACTGTTGTCATGTCATCCATACATATAAGCAATACATTTGTTAGAAAACACTTGTCCGTCTAGCTCAGTTGGTAGAGCGCAAGGCTCTTAACCTTGTGGTCTTGGGTTTAAGTCCTAGGGTGGGTGAATGATTAGGGATTAAGCGATACATTTGTTGGAAAACACTTGCCTGTCTAGCTCAGTTGGTCGAATGATTAGGGATTAAGCCTCCAATCGTTATGCTGTGGAATCGTATTCATAATTATGAATAGTTTTGGAACTGTGTCGAAATGTTGTCATCCATACATATAAGCAATACATTTGTTGTTTGTCTAGCTTAGTTGGTAGAGCGTAAGGTTTTTAACCTTGTGTTCCTAGGTTCAAGTCTTAGGGTGGGTGAATGATCAGGATTGAGTCTCCAATCGTTATAGTTTTGGAACTATGTCGAACCGTTGTCATCCATACATATAAGCAATACATTTATTGGAAAACACTTGCCCGTCTAGCTCAGTTGGTAGAGCGCAAGGCTCTTAATCTTGTGGTCCTGGGTTCATGCCCTAAGGTGGGTGAATGATCAAGGATTGATCTTAAATTGTTATGCTGTAGAACCGTATTCATAATTATGAACAGTTTTGGAACTGTGTCGAACCGTTGTCATCCATACATATAAGCAATACATTTGTTGAAAAACACTTGCTCGTTTAGCTCAGTTGGTAGAGTGCAAAGCTCTTAACCTTTTGGTCTTGGGTTCAAGCTCCAAGGTGCAGGAATGATTAGGTATTGAGTCTCCAATCGTTATGCTGTGGAATCGTATTCATAATTATGAACAGTTTTGGAACTGTGTCATACCGTTGTCATCCATATATATAAGCAATACATTTGTTGGAAAACACTTGCCTGTTTAGCTCAGTTGGTAGAGTGCAAGGCTCTTAACCTTGTGGTCCTGGGTTCAAGCCCTATGATTAGGAATTGAGCCTCCAATTCTTATGCTGTGGAAACGTATTCATAATTATGAATAGTTTTGGAACTGTGTCGAACCGTTGTCATCCATACATATAAGCAATACATTTGTTGGAAAACACTTGCCCGTCTAGCTCACTTGGTAGAGCGCAAGGCTCTTAACCTTGTGTTCCTAGATTCAAGTATCAGCGTGGGCGAATGATCGGGATTGAGTCTCCAATCATTATGCTATGGAACTGTATTCATAATTATAAACAGTTTTGGAACTATGTCGAACCGTTGTCATCCATACATATAAGCAATACATTTGTTGGAAGACACTTGCCTGTCTAGCTCAGTTGGTAGAGCGCAAGGCTTTTAACCTTGTGGTCCTGGCTTCAAGCCCCAGGGTGGGCGAATGATTAGGGATTGAGTTTACAATTGTTATGCTGTAGAACCGTATAAGCAATACATTTATTGAAAAACACTTGCTCGTCTAGCTCAGTTGGTAGAGCGCAAGGCTCTTAACCTGCCATAGCAATACAACCCTCGCTCTTAACCTGCCTAAGCAATACATAGCAATACAACCCTCAGGGTTTGAGTTTCCAATTGTTATGTTGCCATACATATAACCAATCATTATGCTATGGAAACTCTTAACCTTGTGTTCCTAGGTTCATTTCTGTTTCTATAACTACAAACAGAAATTCTGGCTTCAATGAGATTTAATATCCAGAACCATCTCTAAAATTTCTATTCTAAGGACAAATCTTTTCCAATATCAAGACTTATAACTCCTCCATTGTTTTACGCATATGCCAAATCTCAAGCAGATAGTTTGTGTTCAATTGAAGAACAGGCAGCAAGTAAACTCACACAGAATTCACAAACCATTATACATATAGAAAAGATTTAGTTGATGCTTTTATTAAAGATTTTCTTTTGCAATTGCATCTCTGGATTTACTATTCAGATATGACTGTCCGGAGTGGAAGTTTGCTTTCAACCTCCTTCACTTCCGCATTTCTTTCAGCAACAACTTTCGACATTCCAAACATCTGAGAGGAATTGTTATCCAGGATCAATAACAATGGAAAACTGTTCTAGATTCAAATATTAATTATAGCAACAGTCTCACATAAATTAGCAATTCAAAACAAACCTTCTGGATAGTTTTCTTGAAGCACGTTTTATGTTCATCCATTGAAGCATGTATGAACTCGTCAATATGATCTTTCACATCTTCTAAAAAAGTGGCACTTTCAGACTTCTTCTTCCGGCATGAAGCCGTTGCCATATTAACAGCTGCAGCTGAGGTTTGTGCCTCAGGTTTACCTCCTTCAGTAGCCATTCACTCTGATTACAAAATAAATCGATACGTAACCTAAGATTAAGCACGACAAAGGTTACCCAATTCATATTCCATGACTTCTAAGAGTGGAATATTGGAGGATTACTAAAGCAGATTTGAGCTCAATTTTTTGACATAATTATGTTCTCTCATAAATGCTATTGTGCAACAAGCTTGGTTGGCGTGAGTGGCCGTGCACTCTTGTCCCCCTCAAGAGAGGTCGGGAGTTAGAATCCCCTCTCGTATGAAAAAGCCTGGCCAGCACTTTACCCCTTAATTGGGCCGATCCGGTGTGAACGTGAATTAGTCTGAGTATTGTACAGGTTTAAAGGTGCTTCCTACAGTTAGTTAGAGTCTGCTCAAAACACCTGACAAAAAAAAATAAATGGTATTGTGCATTGGGTTGTTTCCTTAGAGCAAAATTAATTGTTGACAAAGCTAAATTTGTGCCTACATCAGTACTTTAATATGAATGCTTTCTTTAATATACAACTTCAAGGGTTTGGGAACAAACTTGAAGAAAATCCACTCCACACATGATAAAACAGGGCAAAATAGCATAAAGTAATACATTAGAGAACTGATTCATATCAATTCAAAGGAAAAAAAGGGGATGGGCGTGAATTTACCTGGGGAAAATTGCAAAGGACAGCAATGAAATCAAAGCCTGCGAATTGAATACCTGATACAAGAATACGCAAGAATTAATCGAATAAGCAGGAGATAATCTAGAAATACAAGATGAGGAAGAATTATAAGTATCTGTGAAAGAAAAGGAAGGGTTTGAGTTCTCAAACCTTCTCTTACACTGCGGAGTCCAAAGGAATGAAGAATTGCAGCATCCTAATATACTAAGGGGGCTGACTTGGACAAGGGGTCAAGTCATGTTTGCAATTAAGGGGAATTTACTAAAATGGGAAGAATTTAAAATAGTTTTTGAAAGTTGAATAACACAGTCTTGTGAGTACGTAGTGTTTGGCAATTAGTTGATAACTGATTGAATTAGTTGGTTTAGTTGATATTGGATTAATTGGTATAGATAGAAAAATATTTAGTAAATTAATTATTTACTTTTAGCTAATTGTATGTGAAATAACATATAGGGCTATTGTGCTAATTTTTTAACTCTTAAATAACTTTTATAATTTATTTATTTATTTATTTTATTATATTATAATTATTATTCGTTGTTATTATTATTATTATTAATTATAATTTTTTAATTATTAATAATATTATAATTATAGATTAATACTCCGTAGTTAATAATAATTAAATATTAAAAATGTCAATTTAAATAAAATTAGAATAAACATAAGTCATTCTAAAAGTAAAAAATAAAAAGAATAAATATAAGTCGTTAATAATAATTGAACATAATAGTCAAATAAAGTTAATCAATTACATAGTATATAAAAATCTCACCTACTTCTCATTTAATCTACCTTGTTTTTATGTTTCATTTTATCCCATTCAAAGTTGGTCTTTTCTTAAACGTATTGTATACAAAGATCACAAAGAAGGTAAAACAATTCTTTTGACCAACTAATCTTGCCTGAATATGTACCATGTTAGCTAACCGCTAATTGCAAAACAAGTTCACTGCATTGTCATCATTTTGCAACGAAAAAGGGCACTGTGCATAATGTCAAAATACTATACATTTAAGAATATAAGTTAAGTTTTGTCTTCTCCCATTTTCTCATAACATCAATACTTTATACTTCCATCCACCAAAAAAAGGTAACAAGAGATTTTTAAGAAAACAAAACCAAAACAAAGAGGCTATAGTAACAGTCAATTAATTTGGAGAAGACAATTCTAAAACTAGATCAGAGGAGAAAGGTGAAAAAGGGGTAGAAAAAATCTGGATTATACTATAAAGCTAGCAAGCATCCTTCCTTCTTCCAAATGTATGCTTGAAAATTCATTTGAACACGAACACGAACACAGAACCTCACTCAGTTTCTCGACTTTCCTCTACCACGCCCATGACCTCCACCTCTACCACGGCCATGACCTCCACCTCTACCGCCTTTTCCACCGCCATGACCTCCACCTCTTCCGCCTTTGCTGCCGCCCTCCCTTAAGGCCTTATTAGCATTATGCTTTATTTGCATGCTCTCCGGCAAGGGAAGGATACGATCCACGCACTTCCTGAAGCTGAAGTCATCAGCGGACCCATCCACCCTTACGATGAAGAAGCAGCGACTTTTAAATATAGGGTGGTTTCGAACTTGAAATGCACCAATTCCCTGGCCTATTTTTTTCTGTGGATCTGCATGACCCTTCTTAATCAGCTCCAGCAAAACCATATGTTCGTACTGCAATTAACACCACCATGAGTCAAACTATCAATACAATCGTCAAATACATCAAGAAAAGTATTGAAAAAGTTAAACATCACTAATATCCGGAAACTATGTACCACCACCTTTTAACATATATGGAATTTAAACAGGACCAAAGATTGTAACAATAGAATACACTCAAAAACGATAATTGCAGCAACTCTATAACTAAAGACCAGATATGATTATGAAGACAGAAAATGATTCACCAACTGATACCGATGTAAAGAGGATATCAACAGTGTAGTCCAGAAATAATAGTTATCAGCATTAACTTACCAAAAATATGGAACTACATTAGAAAAATGCTAGGGGTGAGGGAATTCAGGGAATGAAAAGGTAATAAAGCTGAGAGATCAACAATTCATTGCCCCAATGTCATTGTCCTCTACAAAAGGATTCACTTCTCTCACAGCCATATCATACATTGCATTACCGGTACTAAACTCAATCATGCAGGTTAGGCCAAAACTAAGGGAGTGTTTGGTAAATAGTTGTTAGCTGATTAGGTTAGTGGGTTTGATTAGTTGATATCATTAGCTGATTGTAGAAAAGTAGCTGATAGTTGATTACATGCAAAATAACTTTCTCAAAAAGCTGATAGAAAAAGAGCTACTTTGAGAAGCTTTTTGAATTTTAGCATTTTGAAACAATAAGCTGTTACAAAAAGCTAATTAATCAAACACTCATATCGATTATTTAACCAAGTCAAGCAGCTAATAATGGTCAAATAAGCAAAAATTGGCTAATAAGTTAACTATGTTAACAAATAGGGCCTAAACCTTTAGAAAGACATAGGTTCTAAAATATAGTTTATTTCAAAGTGAAACAGAGCATGGAACAGTCAAGCAGATATAATAGGCTAAAACAATAATCAGCTAAACTAGTTGCAACAAAGTAATGCCTAATTGCCAATATGCAGCTAATCATTCAAAATTTCATCTTTTAACAAGAAGCCTTAAAAGCATTCTAATATCAACTCTTTTTACAAAATTCTTATAAGAAATAAGCCAAAAACAAAATCCATTACATTTAATATGCCAATTTTTTTTTTTTTTTTTAAATAACTGTGGAAAAATAAACATCTGCAAGAGATTACAAAATATTTAAAAATTCATCTTCTAAAAAGATACCCAAAATTGACTATAAAGATCAATTCTTTTCACAAACACACATGCAAAATAAGCCAAAAACTAACTTGTTTCAGAGATAAGACAATACTCCGAATTGACAATAATGTATTTTAAAGATGGAACCTTTCCTACCTCGTTGATGTCGAGATTAGGAGCCCAGTGATGAAGTAATTTGTAGCAGTATTCAAACATCTCTACCGACGACCCAAAGCTTTTCGGACCCAGAGTAACCGGACCCGATTTATCATCCTTCTTTCCCTCCCCAACTTGGCTTCCTTCCAAAATTTCCAGCCTTTGTTCTTCAACAGACTTATCGACCCTTACTTTCTTCGAGGCGTCACCATTGTCACCGTTCTCCGGCTCGCCTCCCTCCTCCCTCGGCCGCTTTGCGCCGCCGTTCTCAGTCCCAGAGTCCTCAGCGACGTTGGATTCAATATCCATGTCCTCGGATAAGGGTTTGGCGACTTCCGGTGCAGATTCTGACATGGCTACGCTGTGAAAACTGAGGTTTGATAAGCCCTACTTTGCTACTTCTGGCTATACAAACCGTTTTTAAAGAGCGGGGTTTTCTACCCGAATTTGACGTGTTGGGCTTTTCAATTTTTTTAGAATAATAAAAGAAGTATAATTAAATTTAAGAAAATGATCAAATACACTCTTAAATTTAATACGACAAGTTAGATTATTTGAAATTAAGAATAGATTTTTTTTTTTTTGATATATCTTTTCATTTTTAAAAGTGAGATATCATGGTCTCCTCCAAGAAAGTCAAGAACTGTGAATGGAGAACTCTCCGATGAACATTACTGAAGGAGCATGCCCATCGGTGACTCACCGTTCACCGGAAGACCAAGACCTGCTTGAGAGAAGCACCAGAAGATCAAAAAAGGGACGGACGGAGTTGGAAGCGGTGGTCTCGCCAACACCGGAATCGGAATCTCGCGGAACTCCGATGGCGGAGGAATCAAGATCACTGGATTCGAACCAGTGGGGGACTCCCGGTGTCACACCGCATATTGCATGGGGCCGATCTAGACTGAGTCAGGCAAATGAAATGGACATCCCTGAAGAAGAGGCTTCAGATGACGAAGGTATGGAGAATGAGGTGAGCGCTGAAGGATTCTCGGTGATCAGAGTGACGAAAGAAGAGAAAGAACGGCTACTTCGTCCTTGGCGGCGTTCCCTTATTCTTCACCTTCTGGGCAAAACGGTGATCTATTCTTACCTTCTACAGCGTCTGACTAGATTGTGGAAAACAGAGTCTGGGTTCGAATTAATTGCTCTCAACAACGACTATTATATTGCGAAATTCGAATCCATTAAAGACTACGATAACGTGAAACTCGGCGGACCATGGATGGTCCTTGACCACTATGTCACAGTCCAAGAATGGGAGCCTAAGTTTGACACAAGAAATAGAAAGACAAGCAAGGTCCTTGCGTGGATTCGTTTTCCGGCCATACCAATTGAATATTTCGACGATGACTTTCTGAAAAAGATGGGAAAGACGATTGGCCGGCCGGTCAAAATTGACACCACCACAAGCGTAGCATCTAAAGGGAAATTCGCTAGAGTGTGTGTGGAGGTGGACATTATGAAGCCTCTGGTGTCTAAGTTTGTGTTACATGGGGTGGATTGGCCTATAGAGTATGAAGGTATCCACCTCGTGTGCTTCAAGTGCGGCATCTATGGTCACCGTCAAGAAACTTGTGGTAAGGATGTTGAGGAAAGACAAGCTATGGAAGACGGGGGAGATGCTGCCACAACCGAGCGAAATGTTGCCCCCAACTCTAAGCCGACGGAGAAATATGGGCCATGGATGCTGGTGACACGGAGGGACAGCCGCAACAGTGGCAGAAATCACAACCGCCATACCGCAAACCAACCCAGAGCCAGACAACAAGTTCCAGTGAATACTAACCAATCTGTGTTTTATGATGCAACTATGCAATCAAGGTTTGCAACTTTGGATGGCTTAAACGAAGCTGAAACGGCACGCGACCAAGAGCTGAAACGGCAACTATGCAATTACAAGTGGAATTTGGGAAGCAATGGCTTTGGGCGGCTTGAGCCAATTCAAAGGAATTGGGATCGGATTTCACTTACTTGGGTGGCAATTGAGATGGAATTGGGAGCGGATTTCACTTACTTGGGTGGCAATTGAGATGCAATTGGAATTGGGAGCCGATTTCATAGCAATTGAAATTGGGAGCTAGTTCGAAGCAATTGAAATTGGGAGCAAGTTTCACATGGGAATTAATTCAAGATGGGAGCCAATGGGAATCAATTCAAGATATTCCAAGATGGGAGCCAATGTAGAATTGTAGTATGGGATGAAAATTCAAATTGAGGACCAATTCTAAATTGAGGACCAATATGGGATGCAAATTCAAATTGAGGACCAATTCTAAATTGAGGACCAATTCAAAGAAGACATGGAGATCAAATTGAATTGAGATGAAAAAATTCAAATTGAGGACCAATTCAAAGAAGACATGGAGATCAAATTGAATTGAGATGAAATTCAATACCAGATTGGGAAGCAATTGAAAGCACCAGGAGAAGCCCAAGCCAATTGCAAGTCAAAGTCAATTGGGAGCCAATTACAATGGAGAAATTCAAATTGGGTGCCAATTACAAGCCAATTGAAATTGGGTGTCCATTGCAAAGGAGAAATTCAAATTGGGTGGAAGTTCAAAACCAATTTGAAGTCTGAGAACACCCAGACGTGAGAATGAAGAAGAAGAAGAAGAACTTATGGCCCGTTTGGTTCACGGAATAGGCCGGGAATGGCATAGCATTCCCAGTAATAGGTCTATTCCTTTGTTTGGTAACCATTTCTATTACCAGGAATAATATTCCTAGTAATAGCCTATTACCTCAAATAAGGTAATAGCTATTACTAGGAGCCCCCCTGGTATTAGCCTATTACTGAACGCTCAGGAATAGATTTTAGAATCTATTTCCTTTTTTACCCCTTTCTTTAACCTAATTTTTTTATCCTATATATAAATTTATCCTATTTCACCACCACCGTCGTCGTCGCCGCCACCACCACCATCGCCACCGCCGCCGCCACCACCACTATCGCCACAACCGTCACCGCCCCCACCACCACCATCGCCCCCACCACTGCCACCGCCACCACCACCACTACCACCCTAGCACCACCACCGCCACCACCATCGTCGCCGCTGCCCCACCACCACCACCGCCACCACCACCATCACCACTACCACCACCACCATTGTCGCCGCCGCCGCCACCACCACCACCACCGCCACCAGAACTACCACCGCCGCCACCACCACCACCACCGCCACAACTATCGCCGCCCCCACCACCACTGCCACCACAGCACCATCACCACTGCCACCACCACCACCATCGCCAAAACCGTCGCCGCCCCCACCACCACCGCCGCCCCCACCACTGCCACCGCCACCACCACCACTACCACCCCAGCACCACCACCACCACCGCCACCACCATCGCCACCACAACCACCACTACCACCCCACCACCACCGCCACCACCACCACCATCACATATTTTTATAAGGGTATTTATGTCTTTTAAAACATATTTCATTTCTATTCCTTAAATCAACCAAACACTGTAATATAATTCCTAAAGTCTATTCCTTATGCGAACCAAACAATAGAATATAATTCTTATTCTATTCCTGGCCTATTCCATTCCTTATGGAATAGCATTACTATTACCTCAAAATTCATTCCGTGAACCAAACGTGCTGTTACAGTGAAAATATTCTCACAAGGAAAAATACTAGTCTAACTAGTATGGGATTAAATTAATGAATATTTTTTTGAATCCCAAAGATACAAAGACCACTTCAGAGCTGATCAAAGAAGCCATTCTACACCAAAACAGAGACCCAGATATTCCCACTCAACGTTAAACTAGAGGAATATCAGATGAAGTTTGGGAGCTTATTTACATGGAGATGAAGATCCATCAAACGGCTAGCTTATCCTTTCTGACATCTTTGCAGAAGATAAGATAAGATCTCTGACAAAAAGATACAAGATTTCAAAAATGAGAGCGTCTCTTTCCAACGGACAGATTCTCATTACCAGCTATAAAATGATGAAGATATGAAGACTTGAAGATAACGAACTCACCAACAAGAGAGCAGAAAATACATCAAGGAGATCGAATAGAGCAATTAAGCTTAAAAGAGCATAGAGCAAAAATATCATTTTGGTACAGAGCATACCAAAAATCTTCAAGTGAGAAGTGAGAAAAGAAAAAGAACTCAGAGAGCTTCAAAGAAAATATTCAGAGAGTTCAAAAAGCAGAGCAAAAATATCAAGTGCTTTACTTGATACATTCAAAGAGAGAAAACACTCAGAGCTATCATTCCAGAGTGTTTATCTTCATCAAAGAGACCTGCGCATCATTGAAGATCATCTACAGAGTCTCAGAAGTTGGAAGCAAGACAACACTTGTTTTGGAGCAAAACAAGAGAAGGGAGGAAAGTAGCACGAAGCTGTGAGATCCGAAGCAGCAGTGTCGGAGGCACTGGGCGTGATTAGTGCGGGCTTTGTGATCAAAGCACTAGATCACGGGATACGTTTCTACCGGAGTGTGGAAGACGGGGGGAAAGTAACGCGGAGTTGTGAAATCCTGGGATAGTAGCGCGGCAACGTGAAACCCGAAGCAGCAGTGTGGTGTCACTGGGCGTGATTAGTGCGGGCTTTGTGATCAAAGCACTAGATCACGGAAATTCATTGTATCTTGGAACCAAGGAGTGGTAGATATAGTGAATTGCTCTTGGAGATAAGAGCAAGTGGAGTAGGAGGATTACACCACCTCGCGAACCACTATAATTGTCTTGTGTTCTTTACTGCTTTCTTTACATACTGCTCTTTACATATTCGCTCTACACGAGATATACTGCTCACACAATCTCACACACACTTTATTTTTATTTATTTCCGCTGTGCACCATACTCTAACGATCTAGTTAAGAGTTTTGGTTTATCTCTGGCTTAGCAATTGTTGTGCTGTGCGAAAAATGAGAAAGTCTATTCACCCCCCCCCCCCCCCCTCTAAACTTTCACCTTACCTCTTTTGGGACCATCACTCCCTTTTCATTATTTTTTATGTCTGTTTTAGTTTGGAATTGTCAGGACGCGGCCTCCAATTCTTTTAGGCGCACCTTGAATAATTTCTTACGTTTGCATAAGCCGGTAATTGTATGTTTGCTTGAACCCAAGGTCTCGGGGAATCAAGCTAATAAAATCTGTTCTAGTTTTGGGTTTGATGAGTGGGTAAGAATGGAGGCCGTGGGGTTCTCTGGGGGAATTTGGGTTATGTGGAAAGTTTGTATGAATGTAACTGTCTTGCATACTCACCCACAGTTCATATCTCTGCAGGTTAGTGAGAGAGCTGATATGCCTTGGACCCTCTCGGTGGTGTATGGCAGTCCCAACCAACATCTCAGACATCTCCTGTTCTCGGATCTAACAGATAATTTTCCAGATCACAACCAGCCATGACTTGTGGCTGGCGATTTCAACTCTGTTACCTGCCAAGATGAGGTTAGCAACAAGGAAGGCTTCTCCACTAGTAGATGTGTCACGTTCAATCGCTGGATTTTCAGGGAAGGCTTGGTGGATTTAGGATTCGAAGGAGCCAAATATACCTGGAGGAGGGGCCACGATTCGGAGGCTTTTAGAGGAGCTAGACTCGACCGCGCGTTAGGCAACATAGCGTGGAAGATGAATTACCCGGATACAGTGATTAAACACCTCCCAATTGTTTGCTCGGACCATGCTCCGTTACTCATATATACGTGCCGTTTGATACCTGGAAACAGCCCGAGATGGTTTAGGTTCAACTTAGCATGGACAACGCATGCTAGTTTCAACAGCCTGGTGAGCTCTGTTTGGGACAAAGAGCTGGATTTGGAGGCAAATAGAGAGGCCATGACAAAAGCATTTTCTGATTGGACTAAATCGACTTTTGGGAATATTTTCTATAGGAAGAAACGTCTCATGGCAAGGCTAGAGGGCATCCAGAAAAGATCATCCATTAGTTTCAATCCGGCACTAGCGAAACTGGATAAGAAGCTAAGATTGGAACTAGAGGAGACATTGTTCCAGGAGGAACTCGTTTGGTTCCAACGTTCCAAAGAGAATTGGATTACATCCGGGGACCGTAACACAAGGTTCTATCATGCTGCGATTTCGGTGAAAAGGAATCATACAAAAATCACATCGCTTAAGGATGATCAGGGAAACCCATTCGCGTCTGAGGAGCAAGCCACTCAACACGTTCGCACATATTTTTTCAACCTTTTTACAGCAGGACCTACTGCAGTTCATCTTAATAATTCAACTGTGAATTTTCCCATTTTGAGTAATCTTGACTGGGCACAGGTGTACACTCCGATCACCGAAGAGGATGTGAAGCATGCCCTGTTCGAGATGTCACCATCTAAGGCACCCAGACCAGATGGATACACTGCTGGCTTCTACCAAAAGACCTGGGCAATTCTGGGAGAGACACTGACCAAGTTTGTTTCTAAATTTCTTGCAGATGGTATCCTACCCTCGGGTTGCAACGATACGCTGATTTCACTAATTCCTAAGGTGTCGAATCCAAACAATGTGAAACAACTAAGGCCGATTGGCCTATGCAATGTGACATACAAGCTATTAACCAAAGTCATGTCGCTTAGACTCAAAAGCATCTCGAGGAAGCTTATCGGTACACACCAATCAAGCTTTGTGCCGGGAAGGCAAATTGTGGACAATATTCTGACGTATCAAGAAGTTCTTAACTCAATGAAGAGCAAGAAAGGCAATTCCGGCTGGTTTATCATGAAAGTGGACTTAGAAAAAGCCTATGATATGTTTGATTGGAGTTTTATCGAGGACA